CCCATTTGGGGTTTCTTGGCAAAGATACTGGAGTGGTTTGCCATTTCCTTCTCCAGCTCATTTGACAGATGAGGAAACTGAGGCAAAAAAGTTAAATGACTTGCCCCGAGTCACACAGCCAGTAAATGTCTGAGGTCAGATTTGAACTCATGAAGATGAGTCTTCCCGACTCCAGGCCCAGCAGTCTACCCACTGAGCCACCTAGCTGCCCACTTTGAGTCTAGATAATCAAAATAACATTGTCACGTCCTGATTCAGAGTGTTGGGCGATTTCCTATGTGTAAATGCTCTCAGTGAAAACTGAATAATGGTTTCTCATCGCTGGTTCTAGAATGCTCTTGGCTAGGATTATTGCTTTCATTATATTATTAAAACCATAGAATTCTATTTTTATGGTTTGGGACTGACAAGGAGCACAAAGTTCAATCCTCTTATTTTACAGAAGGGGAAAATAAGGTCCAGAGAGGAGAAAGGGATTGTTGAAATTTGCTTAGGGCAGTCAGAAGCATAGCTGGAGCCCAGGGATCCTGATTCCCAGTTCTGGGCTGCACTCCCTGCCCCATGTTGCCTCGTATCACACAGGCTTGAGGATGTTGGCTGGGCGAGCTTTCTGAGCAGAGAACACAGAACACAGAATGTCAGCATGGGAAGGGACCTTTGAGACCATCTAATCTACCACTTCAGTGAAGAGAGGAGGAAACTGAGGCTGAGAGAAGAAAAGTGACTTGTCAAAGGTCACACATGGAGGTAGTGGGAGAGGTGAAACTCAAACTCAGGTTTCTTGGCTGAAAAATTGAGAAAGGTTTTCAACAAGAGTTGAAGGAAAACAGTTTTTCGGAGAACATCTTGGCTACTCAGACATCTTGTGTTACTTTTTAGTAACTAACAGCCTAACAAAGCTGCCCCAATGTCAGTGATGCCTGCTTGAATTTGGAATTAGCATAGAACTTGTTAAGAGCAAATGGATGCTGGCAAAGAGTCAATATTAAGAATACAACCTGTACAACCTTCCTCCTCTCTGATCAAGAACTTTGGGGGTTAAGTCTGGATTCCTGAATCTGGCATTTAAGGCCCTCCCTAATCTGGCCCCATCGGACCTTTCCAGCCTTCTCTTCAGTTTTCCCCCACCACCTCCCCTCTCTTCTGGCCAGGCTGGGGGCTCACTTTTCCCTGTATGCTTCTAGATCAGAGCGCCAAACCAAATATTTCATGAGTCGAGAGTAAGCTCCTTGCGGACAGGAACTATGTTGGCTTTCACTCTTCTATTCCTAGTTCTGGGCAGAGGGCACACATATTTTGCTCAATAAATATCTGCTGAACTGATTTTAAGTCTGAAGCCTGTTGCCTAGTAGCTGCGTGGCCCCCCCTTTGCCTCAGTTTTCTTCTGTGTAAAGTGAGATTATCGAACTAAATTATCCTACCAGCTCTGACATTCTACATCCTAAGGTTCTGCCCAACTCTAAATTCTGAACATAAGAATTCCTTTCTCTAAGACTTCACTCAAGTTGTTCCCCCACCCCCATGGAGTCCCCATACTTCTCCTCTTCCTCTCCAAACCCTATCCAAGCTTAAAGTCCACCTCTTCCAGGAAAACTTCTATTTTCTAGAAGAAGCTAGGTGTTACAGTGAACAGAGTGCTGGGCCTAGAACCATGAAGTTTCTTTGTAGTTCAGTCGTGTCCAACTTCATTTGAGGTTTTCTTGGCAAAGATGCTGGAGTGGTTTGCCATTTCCTTCTCCAGTTCATTTTACAGATCAGGAAACTGAGGCAAACAGGGTTAAGTGACTTGCCCAAGGTCACACAACTAGTAAGTGTCTGAGGCCAGATTTGAAGTCAGGCAGATGAGTCTTCCTGACTCTGAGCACAGTACTCTATGCCCTGTGCCACCTAGCTGCCCCAGAGTCAGGGGGACTTGAATTCAAACACAGACTCAGACATTCACTAGCTGTGTGACTTTGGGTAAGTCACTTAACCTCTGTCCTAAGTTTCCTTATCATTCATTCCCTCAAATGGAGATAATAATAGCATCTGCCTTCCAGGTTTGTTGTGAGGATCAAAGGAGATGATACTTGTAAAGCACCTGGCACAGTGTCTGACACATAGTAAAGACTGTATGAATACTAGCAGTTACCGTTATTATTATTATTATTGTCTGTCTGGGGCCAGCGTTGGCTCAGTCTAGGCCAGGATCAGAACTCTGGGGCCATGGTGAAGGCCTAACTTGGGGCTACTTTGAAGAGACAGAAGGTATCAGAGAAGCCAAATGTACTACATAGCACATTGGGTCTTAAGGGGCCAGGATCTGCCATCTATTAGCACTGGAATATGGGTCACCTCCAGCCTCCAGCTTTTTAATGTTCTATATAGCTATAACCAGTCAACTATTCTTCATCTGGGGCAAAACTAATTTGGCCACTCCCAGATACGAGGGCAATGATGTTGTGCAGTTGATAGAGTGCTGGGCCTGGAATCAGTAACATTCCTCTTAGGGCAGCTAGGTGACGCAGTGGATAGAGCACCAGCCCTGAAGTCAGGAGGATCTGAGTTCAAATATGGCCTCAGACCAAACACTTGACACTTACTAACTGTGTGACACTGGACAAGTCACTTAACCCCAAGTGCCAAAAAAAAAAAAAAAAGGAACATTACTCTTCCTGAGTTCAAATCTGGCCTCAGACACTTCCTAACTATGTGACCCTGGGCAAGTTACTTCACCCTGTTTGTCTCAGTTTCCTCATTTATAAAATGAGCTGCAGAAGGAAATGGTAAACCACTCCAGTGTCTCAGCCAAGAAAACCCCAAATGGAGTCATGAAGAGTTGAACATGACTGAAAACGACAGAACAACAAGAGATATGTACATATCTGCAAATAGGAAGACTTTCCTGAAGAGGGACCATAAAATGTGACTTAGGTGAAGGAAGGGGTCCTCCCTCCCCACCTCAGCTGGTATAGTCACAAGATGTAATCACAGGTGATGAAGTGTTAATATGCGAACAAGGTTGATCACCTGACTAATATACAGGGCTTTCTCTGATTATCTGGCCTAGAAAATTTGCTACAGCCTGGAGGCCTTTGAGTAGCTAAGCCTGCAGTCTATGGAAATAGTCAGAGCATTCAGGAGTTAGGGAGTTTAAGACTTCTGGGGAGTATAAGGCAGCCCAAAATCAGAGCAATTGTGGAGTATGGCCCCCGGGGTGGGTGGGGAATATAGGATTTATCTCTCTTCCCCTACCCCACTGGCCCTGGATCCTAGCTTCAGACCTCCTTGCCCAGAGGGAGACACCATTTTCAGCTATTAGAGAGTTTGGAGCATGGCTGAGGGAGCAAAGAAACAGATTTTCTAGATAAATATAGATATTTATATGTTTTTATGTAAATATAGAAAAGCATAGCCATATTTATAATATAACATACATATGCAAGTATAGGCACACATGTATGTATATACACATATGAATATATTAATATGTATATATACTTATGCATGCATCATATATATGTGTATATTTGTGATATATATAATACAAATATAGAGTGTCAGTTGCTCAAGGGGGGAAATAGCTTCCAAAAGCATGATCTCCGGCAGTAGAGAAGAGAGCTGACTGTAGATTCAAGAGAGAGTTAGCCCTGGCAATCAAGAATTGAGCCACAGAGAGGATCTGCACATCCTGCCCAATTGAAATGGTGTCCCATCGAGGAGCTTTGGGAGAACTCCATTAGGAGGCAAAACATACCGTGCTCCTATGGCCCCTTCCTCTGACTGGCTGGTTCCTCTGCCTTAAGGAAAGTGCCCGGTCAGCCCTGTCTTCATGCCTTTTCTGTACAATCCACTCCTGACTCTAAATTTTCTAGACCATGCTCCTGCAGGGTACCTTCTCTTCCTGTCCTTCCTCCCCACTCCCCACCTCCAACCAGCATCCTTTTTTGTGCTGTCTTCTTTTATTGGAATGAAAGCACCTTGAGGGCAGGAACTATCATTTTTCCTCTTGTCCTTGTATTCCCATGTTCTCCGTGCTTGCCTGGCATATAATAAGCACTTAATGATTGTTGACGTGGGATCCCTACATGTATGCTCATTCAGTGTACTCTAAATTTATGCTCAGTCTTCCCATGGAGGCTGTGTGTAGAATATACCCAGGCTTTACAGGAGGAATGTTTTGCAGCTACTTTTCTTACCATGCCATCTTAGTAAATGATTTTGCTTTGAGCTAATGGTGTTTACTGGCTGAATGTTAATAGAAAGCACACTCGTGGGGACTCCTAAGCTATAGTTTTTGGAGTATAGTCCCACAGAATACCCCTAGAACCTGTGGGAAGGGCAGCTGCCCTCGGGGGATCCAGCCCAGAAGTGCCATTGAGGAGAGTAGGGCACAAGAATATTACACTTATAAAGCATAGAATAAAGTGAATGTTAAGCTGCCTATGACTTGGGGTAAGTGGAATAAACGAAGTGCTCAGACCTATGGAAAGGTATTTGTGAGACCTTCAGTTTCAGACACTTGTGTTTAGATAGTTTAGAAGGCAGAAGAAAGGGAAAGCATTTGTTCCCACTTGGGGAAAGGGATTGCTTACCTCACTCATCCTGAGGCTTCCAAATGGCCCTACAAAATTCTCTGTATTTGTAGCAGACACACTTTTCTATCTATAGATGGTGCTTACTAGTCTAGGAATCAGAGAAATGGGGTTCCAGGCCTGGCTCTTCCAATGACTACTTGCCACCAAAGGTCAATTGCTTAACCTTTTTGAGCCTCAGTTCCCAATCTATACAATAGAGAAAATGCTATTTTCATTCCCTATCTAGAATCACAGAGCTGGAGACCTCAGAAGTCACTCTTACTAGTTATGTCATTAACAGCTGATTATCCAATGTGTGTTCGGATATTTCCAGGTTTGGAGGATAGAAAGAGTCCTGAATGAAGCCCCTCTTGTTCCCATTTCACAAGGTTGACCCTTGCCTCTCAAGACAGGAATGTCTCTCTCTCTCTCTCAATGTCTTACCATATCACAGGGAGGTTTTTCCAGGGGCCTGTAGGTGGCTTGTCCAAGGTTCACCACAGCCAGGAGAAGCAAGACCCACAGGTTCATGGCTCTGGACAGGAGTGGGGAAGGAATAAGATACATCATCAGATTTTAGAGAACTCATGTAATAATCTATATATACTATCCTCCCAATTGCTTGTGCTTAGAATGTCAATCGCATTATACTCAGATTAAAGATGATCAGAGCTGGGAAGGGAAATTTAGAACACAGAATGCTAGAGCTGGGAAGGAAAGCTTAGAACACGGAATGCTAGGGTTGGGAAGGAGAACTTAGAACATACAGTCTGAGACTTGGAAGAGCCACCTTTGTGATCATCCAGTTTATGGTTACAGGGAAGGAAACTCAGACCCAACAACTGGAAAGCAACTTGTCTAAGTTCAGAGTGAGCCAATACATTAGAATAGACTATGTTTCTGAAGTTAGAGATCCTTTCTTGTTCATCTTTGTATCTCTCCAGAAGCTGGGCACAAGACCTTGCATAGAGTAGGATCATAAGGCATTTAAACTTTTCAGTGTCCCGGGCAATTCTGAATCCCTAAGTCGTAGAACAGTTATTTATATCAGGCAGCTAGATGGCATAGAGTAGACAGAGCACTGGACCTGAAGTCAGGAAGATCTGAGTTCAAATATGACCTCAGATATCCACTAACTGTATGACCCTGGGTAAGTCTTTAACTTCTGTCTTGGTGTTCTCAACTGCAAGATGGGGATAATATTAGCATCTACAGGTTGTTGTAAGGATCAAATGAGATCATATTTATAGAATGCTTAGTGCAGTGCCAGGCATGTAGTAGGTGCTATATAAATGTTTATTCCTTTCCTTTTCCGTCCCCTTCCCTGAATTCCCAAATGGAGTTTCCCACACCAGTGAAATCATAGGTCCAGTTTCTCCTCCAAACTACAGTTACATTCAGAGAAGGAGGGAATTCAGGGGAGGGAAGGACAAGGGTAAGAGGATGATAAATTGTATTTCTCAAGACTAGAGAAATTCACTTCTTCCAGGAAGGCTTTCCTGACTGACCTCACCCCATTCTGATCACTTCTTTGTTCCAGACCCCCTTGGTATTCCCCTCTTCATTCTAAACTTTGCTGTCATAAATTGCTTCCTATAATACATTGTCTGCCTTTGGAATTGTTCCATGAGTCCTTGAGTTCAGAGACCGTTTCTTAATCATCTTTGTCTCTCTCCAAAGGCTGAGCACAAGGCCTTGTATATAGTAGGTTCATTGAATCCAAAGGCCAGCTAGTCCTACTCCATTCTACAAATGAGTAAACTGAGGTTCAGAGACATCAAGCGACTTCCCTAAGGCCACATGGGTATGGTATGGATATAGAAGTGGCAAAGACTCCTCAGTGGCAGAGACAATGACTTCCACTACATGTCTGAACAGCTCAGGATACAGGGGTCAGCATGGAGTACTAGGTGCTTAATGAATGCTGGTGGAATGGTGAATGAAGAGATGAGTCGATGCCAAATTTATACTTTATATTCTAAATGCTCTTCACCAAACTTCTATGAAGTGGGTAACCGGGGTGGGAATCCTGGCTTTGCCACTTAATATTCAGGTGGCCTTGGGAAGCTGCCGATGCAACGTGGACAAGCACTGACAGAAACACCTCGCATTCATTGTGTTTGATTTTTAATTAATTTTTGGTCATTGTGTATTCAGAAACCTTTCACCATTGCCAAATTTTTCACGACCCCATATGGGGTCAGACCCACAGTTTAGGAAGTGCTGCAAAGGATCCATGGGGACAGCTAGGCAGCAAAGTGGTAGAGTATTAGATCGGAGTTACAAAGACTCCTCTTTGGAGTTCAAATCCAGCCTCAGATGCTTACTAGTTGTGTCACTTAATTTTGCCTGTTTGCCTCAATTTCCTCATCAATTAAATGAGTTCAAGAAGGAAATGGCAAACCCCTCCAATATTTCCGCCAAGAAAACTACAAATGGGATCATGAAGAGTCAGACTTGACTGAAACAACTGAAAAATGACAACAAAGGAGCCATGATATAATCAGAGAGTATCTTCAATCTTGGAAGATAACATACTCCAAATAACTGAGCTGCCTGTAACGGCTAACCTATATCCCTCCTAGCTCTGGCATTCTGTGCTCTGAGGTTCATCTCAGCACTAACATTCTGTGTTCTAACATCCTGTCCAGTTCCAGCATTTCTTTTCACAAATGAATGAAAAAGTATTTATTTGGTGCTTACTATGTACAAAGCACATAGAGAAAAGTAAACAGTCCCTGCTCTCCAGGAGCTCACATTCTAATTTGTTGTTACTCAGTCCCCATTTGTGGGGTTTTTTGGCACAGATACAGGAGCGGTTTGCCATTTTCTTCTTCAACTCATTTTATAGGTGAGAAAACTGAGGCAAACAGGATTAAGTGACTTGCCCAGAGTCACACAGCTCGAAAGTGTCTGAGGACAGATTTGAGCTCAGGTCTCCCTGAATCCAGGCCCAACACTCTATCCACTGCACCACCTACCTGCCCTATGTTTAGAGAAGACAACACATGCAGTAGATTTCAGCTGCAAGTCAAATGTAAGGGGTTATGTGAGTGTCACTAAAGCAGATGGTGATGCATCTCCCGTAACAGCATTTCCACTGACAAAACCCTATTTCCGATGTTGAGGTATTAGGCAGGGCTGGGGACTTTGGGGGTGAGAACTCTCTTTTCTGGATTCTTCAGTCACTGTGGCTGCAGGAGCAGTTACCAGAAGTCATCTCTCCTGGATTGGCTTCTGGGATGATGGTAGTTAGGGCTGAGTAGGCATAGGGCCAGTAATCTGAAAGGTGATCCACCTCCTGGGCTCTTAGGCTTACCTACCCTTCGGTGGTAGTTGGTCAGCAGTTAGTTTTGGTGGTGTCAAGGAAAGTGGGCCCCTTCTCCACAGTGACCACTCCTCTCAATGATGACCATGGGACATGGGCTGAAAGTAGTAGGGCTAGTGGCTTGGGGGAAATTGATATTCCCAAGGCTATCGGATTCAGAGTCCTAGGCTATTTCCTGGTCTAAGGACAGGTGGTTGTCAAGGTGATGGCAGAGGTTTTACTTGCCTGGTACATGCTATCTCCTGTCTCTCCCTGGTGCTTTGCTAGGCTTACTGTTGCCCCATCTTCCTCAATCCCTTTCAGATGCTCTGTAGTCCCTCTCAGATCTGACATTCAATGACTGGTTGGATGAATTCGAAGCCCCAGAGTGATACAGAATCATGCTCCCATTCCAATCTCAGTCTAAATGTTCTCTGGGGCTTCCCAGACAAAGTCATCTTCAAACCTACGGCCAGATGTATGGGGAGTTGGGATAACTCAACAGAAGCTGACATTGGAGAAGCTAACATCCTCTGCCCTCCCCTTCTTACACTCTCCTTCTATAGGGGCCTCAAGTGGGGGCCCCTTGACCTCATAGCCTTGAATCCTGGAGCACCCACCTTGTGTAGGCCTCAAGAAGCTTTCTTTCCCTGTACTAATTCCTGCAGACCTCCCTGGCCCTGCTCTCCCTCCTCCCCAGAATCCCTCCTCTCACTTCCTCCCTCTGGGGACCTGTTATATAAAGGCTCCTTGGCCTTTGAAACATGGGTTCTTCCCTATTGTTTGGGCAGCTCCCAGGCCGAGTATAGTCAGGAAGTTGCATTGTCAAGGCAGAGCTCAGTGCCCTGGCATTGTATGAAGCAAGGGCAGCTCTGCGTCTCACTTACACTGGGGCTGTTTGGTCAGCCTTAGTGAACCTCAGGAGGACCCCTCTCCAGCTCCCACCCTCTAGGCCTTAGGAGAAGATGGGAAGCTTGAGAAAGGGGGATAGGTGGGGCAGAGTGACATTAGACTGGATTTTTTTGGCAGAGCTAGAGGGGACTTTGGCGAGCAGAATGTTATTGAGCTAAAGTATAGATAACTTCAAAAGAATCCTCAGATTGTGTACTCTAACACCTGTCCAAATCATCAATCAATCATTTATTAAGTGCTTACCACGTGCCTGGTGTTGTCCTAAGTGTTGAAGAAACAAAGAAAGTCAAAACGGCACCTACCCATGAAAAGCTTACATTCTGATGTATATGTATATATGAGGTAGCCAGATGGCTCAGCAGATAGAGCACTGGACCTAGAGTCAGGAAGACCTAAGTTCAAATCTAGCCTCAGACACTTCTTAGCTGTGTGACCCTGGGCAACCTCTATTTGCCTTAATGCACTGGAGAAGGAAATGGCAAACCACTTCAGTATCTTTACCAAGAAAACCACATGGACGATAGTGGCATGCAACGGTCCACAGGGCAATGAAGAGTCGGACACAATGAACAACAAATGTCACATATAAATTGGTAGATACATTGATAAACACAGAGTAGATAAAAATTGCCTTGGAGGAAAAACAATGCTCGCTGCTCGGAGGACTGGGAAAAGCCTTCTGGAGGAAGAGATACTTGAGCTGTCTTAAAGGAAGCCAGGGTTTCCAACAGTCTAAGATGAAGAGGAAGGGCATTCCAAGCATGGGGTACAGCCAAGGCAAAGGTGCGGAGATGGGTATAATGATATCGCCAACGAATACCCATTCGGTTTCTGCTTCAAGTTTTCCAGTGATGGGGAACTCTCACCTTCCCCCTACTCAACCCACCACTCCCAACTGTCTTGGACAGCTCTTATTGTTAGGTAGTTTTTTTCCTTATGTTAAACCAAAATCTGCCACTTTTTAACCTGCAGATCCTCGTAGTCTCTGCTCAAAGCAGAATAAAGCCAACTTCTCTTCCAGGCAGCCTTGAAGTCAATGAACACAATGAGCAGGTGTTGAGGTCATACCCAAATCCTTGCAGGGATGAATGGTTTCCATATCTGTCAGCATCCTGGTCACTCCTCTCTTAACAGGTTTCAGCTTAGCAATATCTCTCCTAAAATCTGGTTCCAGAAATGAATACACAATACTCCAAATATAGTCTAGCCAGAGCAACGGACATAGGCCTATCATCACCTCCCTCATTCAGAAGACTAGCCTTCTATTTATGGATCCAAATAGTTATCCTTTATTTGACAAGCAGACTGGGTGGGGC